CTGTGCTAGAACCGGCGGGTCTCAGACTGTGCTAGAACCCTGCCCCCAGACTGTGCTAGAACCGGCGGGGCTCAGACTGTGCTAGAACCCTGGCCCCCGACTGTGCTAGAACCGGCGGGTCTCAGACTGTGCTAGAACCCTGGCCCCAGACTGTGCTAGAACCGGCGGGTCTCAGACTGTGCTAGAACCGGCGGGTCTCAGACTGTGCTAGAACCTTGGCCCCAAACTGTATTAGAACCGCGCCCCAGACTGTGCTAGAAGAACCCCGGACCCAAACTGTGCTAGAACTGGTGTGTCTCAGCCTATGCTAGAACCAGTGTGGCCCAGGCGGTGCTAGAACCGGCAGGTCTCATGATGCTAGTACTGGCACATCTCCGACTGTGCTAAAACGGCGGCCCCAGGCGGTGCTAGAACTGGCAGGTCTTAGACTGTGCTAGAACCACTAAGCTAGACTGGTACTAGAACCAGGGTCCCAGGCTATCCTAGAACCGGGGTCCTAGGCTGAAGTAGAACCAGACATAGGCTGGTATTAGAACTGGGAACCTAGGCTGAACTGGTTCTCTTGCCTGTTCCTAGGCTTAGCAGAATTCAATTTCCATTTCTTAAATAATGTTGACTGATAGTATCAATGTTTATGTTTAAGCTTTTTAAAAATTGTTATCCTTTTAAATTTTCACAGTGTGCAGGATTATGGGATTTAAATATTATTTTTAGATGTTTATCAATTTACATTTTCCCAGTTGTGGGAAACTATGGGAGGGTCAGACAATAATTATTTAATGACAGTAGATGAGATTCAAAAAGTTAAAGGCTTATAAACCCTTGAAAACACAAATTGTCAACATCACATCAAAATATACAGAGTAAATATCTTTTAAGTCAAACTCTAATAAGTTCTCAAGCAGCATTTCTGACTTTGTCTATCTGTAAATTTTGATTATTACCAATAGAAATATTTTTTCATCAGTTTGTGTTGGTATGGTGAAATTAACATTTATTGACATTTGCCAATAAAGAGGTAATCCTTCCAAGCCTACCCATTGCCGACCCACTGAGTCACTCAGACCCCACTGCACGAGCGCCTGCTTATGCCATTTATCCTTACGCCTCTTATGAGTCCAAGTTCATCAGACCTGGAGAAGTAAAAATCCAAAAGACATATTGCACAACTGGGATATGGGAGCAGACTAGATCTTCCCCCACCTCCAACAGCTGCTGGCAAAAAACAAGAATTTTCTCAGGGCAAGTCTGAGACTGAAACGAACTCCCACAGGAACCAAGGATCATCACAAACTTCCCCACTTTCCACTCCCAATGCAAGGAAGACATCTTCGCTCTGTCTTCTCTAACATAACACAGAGCAGCGTGGACATTCAAAACAAAAACAAACTGCTACTAAAACAAAAACACTACACACCAAGTTCTCCCCCTGGGGAGAGGATGAGAGACCCACACATGATGGATGTTAGTCAGAGGTGGAAGGCTCACAGTAATGAGGACAGTATAAGAACCTGAATAGAATAGAATGAAGGGATGTCATTTCAGCCCTATGGTTTCCTGTGTTCTACACAGATTTGGAAGCCCCTCACACCTATGGTTGAAAATTAATCAGAAATAGAGAAAGAATCATGAAGCTGAAGTTAGAGAAAGGGTTGTTGCCACTACAGGGATGAATCCCGAAGTATTTTGCTACACTCTGTTTATATTGTAAGTTCTTTGGGGGCAGGGAGGGACCATGTCTTCCTTACATGTATGTACAGACTCTAGCACAAGGGAGCCCAGGTTCCTGATAGTAGGTGCTACCGCAATACAAATAACATTTTTCATTTTCTGCGTGAGTCATTTTTACCCTCTGTAAGGGTGTGGACCCACCCCTGCGGCACCTCCTGTTGGTCGTCCTTGGGAATTAGCTCATTTTCCAGCCAGAAGCGCCCTCTGCAGGCCGGTGATCCACCTTATCGCTGGCCCCCCATGTCCCCTCCCCACGACCCCTTTCTCTGGGACGCTGCCCCCTTGGCAGTAACCCCTCAGTCTCAGGGTCTCCTCACCCAGGGGAACCCCCACCCATTATTCCCACTTCACCTCAGTCTTGGATACTGCCAGTCCTCATCTAGCCCCCATTCACTGGGGCAGACTGCAGTTTATAAGCCACTCATCACAGGCAAAGGGGTTTGGACCTGCCCCCTGCAACTCAGTACCTAATAGGCCTTACCAGGCCTGCAGCCTGGGGCTTTCCTAGGCTGGAGCTCCCCCGCTCCCTTGGCCTTTCCCCAGCCCTGCTCCACTCCAGATACCTGGTTAAGCTCCCTGCACCCAGGCCCTTCTCTCTCTGAACACAGAGAGAGACTGTCTGCTTGAACTCCTGGCTCAAGCCTTTATAGGGCCAGCTGGGCCCTGATTGGGGCATGGCCCCAGCTGAGCCTGCTTCCTCCCAATCAGCCCAGGCGTCTTGCCCTTCCACCGCCTTCCTCCAGGGCTGTTTTAAGCCCTTCCAGGCAGGAGCGGGTGACCACCCTGCTACCTCCTCATTTTGGGGTCTTTGCTTTATTTCCCACATGAGGGGCCTTGGCAGGTGGAGTGGTCTGGCCTGGGTGCAGAATGAATTACTAGAGCTGTCCAGGAAAAATAATAGATCAGGTTTTGTGGCTATATTGGCACCGACTGTATCATACAGTGTGTGTGTTTTTAAAATAAGTACAGGTTACTAAGAACTTGCTGACTCGGCTTATTTATTACTTCAATGGTCAATGCTTTCAGCACTGCACACATTGTTGCTTTTTATTTTGGTTTTAACTGGAGTTTTGCAAACTAATTATTGATAATCCAAGAACATATCCCTGTTCCACATCAGTAATGATATGTTAAGACTTTTCTGTTCTTCAGAGCAGCAGTGCTCCTCTTCATAATCTGAGATGCAGTCAAGAATAAGTGGATAAGTAGTAAGCACGTCTCTTATCCTAGTAATGAATCTTATACAATCATGTAAATCTTTTACTTTTTATTAATGATTATTGAACAAGTAGAAACTATTGCATATTAGTTTTAATCTCCATTATCACATAGAGTTTACTTCTAAATATACAAGAAAACATATAAAGTTTTTTGGAACCTGAGGACAAGGGGACCTTGAACAAGCCTTACACACTCCAGAATATTCAAGAGACGCTGCCAGGGACAAGAAGTTTGCTTGGCCTTAAAAATTACAGTAATCTTTCCCAGGGGTTTTAGTTCTTGGTTGATTTTGCTGTAAAATCTCCTGTAGACTTAAGAGAATTAAATTGCAGTGGTTGTGAGTGGCCCACATGGTAAACAAACACCTTCTCTGATTGCAGCCTCGTTCTCCATTGCACTGGTCTGCTCTGTTCTTGTGAAACAGAAGTCTGAAGAACTTTGTCTGAAGCAGGATTGATTCTTGGAAATGTTGCTCTACAGCCTGCATGCAGAAATGTTTTGGGGAAATGTTACGGACCAGCCAACCTGTGTGTAACCCATAACAACTTAACAGGAGGCATTACAATTGTAATCAAGACAATCTACTTGTATGTGAATTTCATAGAGATGTACTAGCAATCATCAACTCATTCATTTGTAGTAATAGAAATCACCGGTAGATGCTAAGTGTATTTGTCTGTGTTTACCTATATCCTGTTAGAAGTTTAACACTGTAGCCAGATTAGTTTATAGATGCTAATTCCCTTTCATGTCTTGATTTCCTTAATTATGTATGCAACTGTGTCCAGTTAACCTTAAAATCAAAGATGTAAAATATTGCAAGAAACTAATAATATTATCTACATTGTCTTCAGTTTAACTATGTTATAATGGAGGACGGTCTAATTGCTTTATGTGAATGAGTGTAACTAGTTTACCTGTGTATGCATAGGAAACAGAGCCGTAACAAGGAATTTTTGCGCCCGAGGCAAGGGCCAGCTCCAGGCTCTTCGGCGGCAGGTCCCTGAGTCCCTCTCGGAGGGAAGTACCTGCCGCCGCCGCTTCATTCATTCTTCAGCGGCAAGTCCCTCAGTCCCTATCGGAGAGAATGACCCACCGCCGAATTGCCGCCGAAGAATGAATGAAGCGGCAGCAGCAATTCAGCAGCAGGTACTTCCCTCCGAGAGGGACTCGGGGGCCTGCCGCTGAATAGCTGCCAAAGAAGCGGCAGTGGTAGAGCTGCCACCGAAGCGCCGCCGATCGCGGCTTCCCCCCCCCCTCCCCGCCCCGCTTGGGTGGTAGAGCTGCGCCCCTCCGCTTTGCGCGCCCGAGGCAAGTGC